TGTTTTATTACCCTCTCCATAATTTTAAAGTATGACACATCAACTTAATTTCCTTTATAACTTACACACTCTTGTGCATCCCTTTATTCTTAAAAATAGGGACTAAAATACTCTTCCTCCACTCCTCAGACATCTTTTTAGTTTTTAAAATAATTTTAAAGAGTTTAGTAAGCCAAGAAACTCCCAAATCTCCTAAACATTTCCTTCAGTTGGGATATCATCAGACCTTACAGACTTTCCACCCTTGATTTTCTTTAAAGCCTCCTCAACTTCTTTTTTACTAATGCAACGGTAAAAATGAAACGTTTTATTATTATTAACGATATTAAGATCACTAAGGTCAATCGTATTTTCAGAAACTTAATTTAAAAGTTTATCAAAATAACTCACCCACCTATGTTGAATATCTTTTTATAAGAAAAACACTTTTTAATTTTCATCTTTAATAGACTTTACTTGAGTTAAATCTTTACTTTTTTTCTTTCTGTTTCTCTAGTTTATACATATAGTTTTCACTCTTCTTAGTATCTAATCTATTATAAATATGATTATAAATATCATTAAAAGTATAATTTTTAGCGTCACATATTGTTCTTTTAGATTCCGTTAATTTTTAGCGTCACATATTGTTCTTTTAGATTCCCTGCGGATCGTTTGATATTTTCCCAACTCTCTAAGCTTTTACAGTTTTCCAAGCTCTTACATTTAAACTAATTTTTATGACATAATTTCTTATATTTTATCTTTTCTTGCACATTATTATTCCACCGCCAACTATTTTTATTTAAAGAAAATTTTTCTTATTTTTCTTTTGATTCTCGATTCTCCAAGTACATCTTTTGCTATTGTTTAATAGTTTTTGTTACTTTATTCCACATAGCATTTGCTTCATCATGAACATCCCAAATTTTGAAATATTGAATTTTGCTAATAAAAATAATTTAATTTGTGTCTTGTAGGTTCTCCCATCTAATTCTACGATAATGAGTCATAGTATTTTGTATTTAACAACTTTTCGTCTTAAAATCTAGAACTAATAAATAATAATTTCAAAATACGAAGGAGCTAAAGAAGATCTTGTTTGTAGGAACAATTGACCAAAAATAAGGTGTGATCCAAATGTTTCTTATGAAAATTGTAAAATTAAACTTAGAAAGGTAGATATTCAAATATAAATTGACCAGTTTATTGCAATTAAGAAGTCTTTTGTTTTTAAGAGCTGGTTGTTTTGTGTGTTGGTTAGGGGAGGGGCACAAAGAGAAATGAAAGAAAAATGCAAATGGAGAAAATCATGCAAGCTGCTTAAATTAACTACATCAAATTCTTCTTCTTTTCCTAAAGCGCTGGTTGTTTTGTGTGTTGGTTGGGGGAGGGGTATAAGGAGACATTGAAAGAAAAATGCAAATGGAGAAAATAATGCAAGCTGCCTAAATTAACTACTTTCAAGGTCTGGAATGGATTTATAGACGCTTTTTGGGTATGCGTGAATATAGATTAAATTTCAAAATTAATGCGGGGGCTGATGGACTGGACTGGTTGGTTTGGTATGTGGGTGCCGATCCCGCTGCCCCTTCACCCTTCTGTTTTCCATTCTATTTCTTTCCATGGAGGGATTTCCCTTCATATTCTATTCCTTACCTTTTTCTATCCCCTTTCTAGTTCTAATTCCTTTCTATTCTAATTTCTTTCTATTCTAACAACTGGCATGTATTGTATATGTGTTGATTGCTTGTTTAGGGTTCACTAATTGATTGTTTTTAGATTTCAATTTTTACTTATGGGTGTTTCTCTCTTCCAAGGGTTGTTCTATCCGACGGCGAGAATTTGCTCCGGCTGTAACTTATCATAGATCGTGAATTATCTCCACTAGTTTCTTCCCTTTATAGCTCCTGTTTGCTTTCCAACACTTGTTCTACTGCCGTTGGCCATCCAACATCTGTCCAACTACCATCGACCACTGGAGCACCTCTCTGGGTGCCGCAACAGCCTCCTGTTCACTCCAACAATTTCACTCCCTGCCTTAACACCTTTCGGGTTGCTACAACAACCCCTGCTCCCTCCAGCCTTGCCACTCCTTACCACCAACACCACCCCGACTGCCACAACAACCTTTTGCTCATTCCATCCGTCCCGCTCTCTGCCTCCAGCACCTTCTAGGCTGCCACAACTTCCTCTGGTTCATTCCAACACTGCCGCCTCCTGTTTGCAGCTCATTCCAGAAGACCGCTGCTATTGCCGTCTCCCTTGCAATCATTTTCAGCCACTTCCAAACCTGCCATCCTCACCCTATAGTGCCGTTTATGCGTTTTGTGTCGTCTTATTCTGGTTTTGAGGAGTCATCGTTGTAAATTGTGAGTTTCAACAATAACTATTTGTTCTGTCATGGTTTGGGTTATCTTCAGTATCAAAAATAGTCCCTCGTTAACTTTTGCGTTAAGCTGGGCTGATGGGCTTGACTAGTTGGTTCGACATGTGGTTGTTGGTCCAGCTGGGAGGCTGGTGTGGCCATTCTTCTAACGGGGCGGGAATTACCACCCCTTCCTCATATTTTCTATTTTGTTCCCTTTCCATGGAGGGTATTCCCTTCCTATTATATTCCTTGCCTTTTTCTATCCCCTTCCTAATTCTATTTTCTTCTTATTTTAATTCCTTCCTATTCTAACTATTGGTATCTATTATATATGTGTTGATTGCTTGCTTAGGGTTCACTACTTGATTGTTTTCATATTTCAGATTGCTGCCTCTTGGTGTTTCTCCCTTCCAAGTATTGTATCCGACGGCGAGAATGTGCTCTGTCTGTAACTTGTCCAAGATGGTGAATTATCTCCGCTTATTCCTTCCCCTTCCCGCTGCCACCCGCCCTCCAACACTTGTCCTGCTGTCGCTGGCCATCCAACTTCTGTCCGACTACAGTCGACCACTCCAACACCTCCTAGGCTGTTGCACAGCCTCTTGTTTACTCCAAAAATGCCACTCCCTACCTCAACACCTCCCAGGTTGCCAGAACAGCCTCTGCTCTCTCCAGTTGCCGCTTCTAGCCACCAACTCCTCCCTGGTTGCCGCAACAACTTCCTGCTCATTCCAACCATGCCGGTCCTTGCCTCCAACTCCTTCCAGGCTGCCGCAACCCCTTCTGGTTCATTCCAACACTGACGCCTCCTATCTCCAGCTCTTTTCAGTAGGTCGCTGTTATGAGCCGACTTGAGCTCAGCTCGATAAGCAGCTAGCTCTAGCTAGCCTCGACTTGACTCGTTAGCTCGTGAGCAGGTTCGTTTAAAAAAATATTAGTATAAAATATATTTAAAATATATTAAATTTAAAGATTTTATCTTTAAAAATATTAAAAATGTTCAAAAAAAAATAATATTTTGTATTTTATATTAAGTGATTTCTTCTTATTTATCTCATAATTGTTCATTCTATATGATAAACAAGTCGGCTTGAACTCATAGACTTAAGCTTGAGCTTGAGCTTGAGCTCGATAAAATTATTCAAGCTCAAGCTCAAGCCGAGAGTGGCTTGAGATCGACTCGACTTCTTTACACCCCTAGCCACAGCTACTCCCATCTCCCTTTACCATTGCCGCACTCACTTCCAATCCCTTCCAGACCTGCCGTCCTTACTTTTTAGGGCCATTTATATGTTTTGTGTTGTCTTATTCTTGTTTTGAGGAGCCGTCGTTGTAATTTTTGAGTTTGAGCAATAGCTATTTTTTTTCTGTCGTAGTTTAGGTTAACTTTTGTATCCAAAATTGTCCCTCCTAACTTTTGCATTAAAGTGGGCGCTTGAAATTGAAAAATGCTTTAAAAGCACTATGCAATAAGAAAATATTTGACAATACACTTTTTAAAATTGTGCTTAGATTTGGCATACTGTATTATTTGGAAGAAGGCATTGATAAACAAATTGATTGCAACGACAATGCTATAATAATGAACGTGTTATAAATCTACAAGTATTACAGTTAGAAATGATTGTATCATTGTGGAGGTGAGAGTGGTATTTTTTGCAGTGAAGGTAGTATAAAGTAGAATTCAGGTGATCTGATTATGTACATATATTTTGTAGGGTGAAGAAGCACCCGTAATAGTAGTAATTATTTTGGAATAATTATGAAGAAAAATAGTAGATCTAAGATAATTTGGTTAGTATGTGTGTTAGGGTTGCTAAACATTGAGTTCTTATTTGGGATATTTACTTACATGCCACCCAATTCCTATGTGTTAACATATCAGACGCCTAAACTTTGATTTTAACGTACAGGCCACCCTGCTTATGGCCAAAAGTTAGTAGGGATGGGTGGCCTGTACGTAAAAATCAAAATTTAGGTGTCTGATATGTGAATACATAGGAATTGTGTGGCACGTAGATAAATCCCTCTTCTTATTTATGTGGAATTAAGGGTCTGTTTGGGGTAGCTTGTGCGTTTCATGATAAGCAGCTTATCCTGAAAGCCAGTGTTTAGTGTAGAAAACTCAAACGCAGCAAACAACGTTTTTAAAAATGCGCAAACCAAACGGTTAGGCGACATTAAGGGTCTGTTTGGGGTAGCTTGTGCGTCCTGAAAGCCAGTGTTTAGTGTAAAAAACTCAAACGCAGCAAACAGCGTTTTTAAAAATGCGCAAACCAAACGGTTAGGCGACGTTTTCAAAAACGCCGCCGCACTTATAAGCCGCCCCAAACGGGCCCAGTAGGAATGAATGAAGAAGGTTTGATGGAATGGACTCCGTTTAATATGGATTAGGCTAGTGATCTTATTGATGGAATTTCATATATCTGTAAATATTCATGTAGAATTCACAAGATTGTGGGAGATTTCTATGATCTGATCCCTTCTGGGTTTTGTATTCATTTGAATATCACTTGCCCTTCTTCCCTAAGAATGGCTTTCATTTTTTTGTATTACTCTTCCTTATAAAGTACTATGTTTTATTTATTTATTTGATCATTATTTCATCACTTTCCGTTATCTTTAATTGTCTATAAACTTTCTGGTACAGACTTCTATCAAAAAGACTGATGGATCATTGGAGCAGACAGTTAAAAAGCAAAAGACAGGCCTAGGAAATGGTTCAGCAAAAGCTGTTGATTCTGTTTCAACGGCTATTAGCATTTCAAGTGAATGCCAGGATGCTGGAAAATCTGTAGAACGGAGCAGTTTGGCAGAGGTCCAGGTTTCACCAAGTACGAAAGCATGTTCAATTGTAAAACAAACTTCTCGAATGCCAGTGTCACACCCTAACAGATTTAAGCTCGATAACCGTCCTACTTCATTCAGAGTTTTGCCTCCTTTACCAGCCAAACTTGGGAATGTAAGCCCACTGACCTCTCAATATATATATTTTGTTAAGATTAACTCTTTATAATTCTGATACGTTTTTTTTTTAAATTGGGGGAGTTGAAATTACCACAAGTACCACACCTGGAAGTCAATATGCACACCTACTGTTACACATTTAGTTCTAAACTAGAAATTTTCACTGGGTTGTTAGTTTAATAGATTACAAGGTGGTAAAAATAAGTTTGAAACTACACCATCATTATATTTCAGTCTAATTCATCATTTGACTTGATTACAAATCTTTTGACTAACTTTGTTGAATTACTTCATTGGACTTGATAAATTTATTTTATCAGAAATCTAAAAGCATTGGTCTTATTGATAAGATAATGGAAAATTAAGGATTGATTATTTTGAAGGAACAATTAGATTGACAATCATTGAAGATAAGGTAATGGAAGCTACACTTTAGATACTTTGAATATATACAATGAAGGGAGATTATACGTCCAATGTAAGACTAGATAAAATTAGTATGTGGAAGTAGAAAGGTGGTTAAACTTATGATCACATGGATAGATTTTATTCAATATTTGCATGTAATATGTTTAAATGCAGATTCACAAAGTTGACCTCTTATAGTTGAAATAAAACTAATGATGATGATTATTGATGTTAAAGAAAAATAATTTAATTTAGAACCCTTACTTGAGAGGGAGAGCAAAAAATAACGGTTTGGTTCTCTCTATCATGATTGAGTGTTATGGGTTGGAATCACATCAGCATCCTTGGATAATGCATAGTTAAGGTCACATGCACAAGTCCCACAGCTGACAAATATTAGTGGACGCTTCATTCACTGGCCCTATAATTTCATATTTGCATGATTTACAAATTTCTGTTAAGGCCTGCAGCTTTGGAGGTCTGTTACTAAACCTGGAGGAACTTCCTACTAGAAAACCGATAGAGCATGGAGCTTTGCATGTATTCACAGTTTCATTCTTTTACTTTTCTTGGGGGTAAAGGAGAACAGTAATAATTTTGTCCGTTAAAAAAGCTAGGTGAACAATGTACCTTGAGGCTAAATGTTTAAATTTTTAAGAAAGATTCTATATTCTGAAGTTTATGGTCAGAAGCTTGTTCTACTGTCATCCTTGAGCTGTAATATATTTAGGTGGCTCGCTCAAACTTAGTACTTTTCTTGTTTAGTTTTCCTTTGATCTGTTAAAGAATACTCAGGTCAAATTTTTATACATTATCTTGTGGTCAATCCAATATACATTTATAAATTTGAAGTTCTCATTAATGGAAGTGTTATCCATGGTGCTCTTTACCATACAGTGAAACTTATCCTAGTACTTACTGAAGGCCTTGTTGATTCTATGTCAGTGATAAGAAAAGGATATAATCGTTGTAAACATGCTATGTATTGGCGGCAGGAGTAAATTTGTCTGAACATGACTGGTTGCAGAATTAGTGTTTTCCACACTTCTGCTACCATAGATTGTGATGCTAAATGCTATGAACTTGCAATCTAAACAATGAAATTCATTGAAAACATTGGTTTTGATCATGGGCAGTTTTTATTGTGATAATGATGCCTAATGAATTGTGTTGTTCCCATCTTCCACCATTGCGGCGTCAACATACTTTTCATAGAATTGAATTGTAGAAACTAATTATTGTCGCTGGAATTCTCATCACGTTGCCGATATGTAGAACTTAAACATTACATATCTCTGCTTGTCAGGCATCTCGCACTGGGAAGTTGGTTTTTTTCCTCGTTTTTTTTTTAGGGGGGGGGGGGGGGGGGGGTTGGGGG